ACTTTAAGTTAAGGTCTTCTTTTGAATAAGAAAAAAACGTTGGGGTTATCCACAGATAAATATGAAGTCTGAAAAAGTACTTAATGTCCAATATATTGCATAGTTTATTTTGGCACTTTTTTTGGCACTTTTGACTCAGGTTTAACTAAAGTCTGATTTAAGGGTTGTTTATATTTCACATCATTAATCAGAATCTGCAAAGCAACTAAAATAAATGTAGTGGAGTAAAAATACCAGGTTAACCTCTGAATTGTAGTGGAGTAGAACAAAGTAGTACATGCTGCAGTAACAAAAACATTTCCCAACTTGGGATCAATAAAGTATATCTTATCTTATCTTAAAGGTCCCATGTCATGCTTTTCCGGTTATTACCTGTCCCCTTGTGTGTTATGAAGGTTTTTATGCATGTAAACGGTCTGCAGAGTCAAAACCCTCAAAGTACACCCTGTAGCGAGTAAAACTCTAACACAGAAAATACCTCCCCAAAACGCCTCGTTGGAGATACGTCACTGTCCATTGATTATTCCGGGTAACTCATGATGTCATGCGTTACCCGGAACCAAATGGACCAATCCGTGGAGCCGTTACGTCCGCGGAGACGTTACGTTAAGCCCCCGCTGATTGGTCCAAATTGACCAATCCACTGACTTCCTCACACACACACTCAGTGCAGGCANTAATGAGGCTTTATTCAAATATTAAAGAATACTTTAAGTTAAGGTCTTCTTTTGAAAGACTTAATATTTATCTGTTGATACCCCCAAAGTGTTGTTCTTATTCAAAAGAAGACCTTAACTTAAAGTATTCTTTAATATTTGAATAAAGCCTCATTAGTTTGTCTGTTTTGCACATCCTCCTGTTAATATCTTTGGACGTCCTTTTATTGTAGAGATCACTACAGTATCTTCTTGATATTTTCTATTCTATATGTGTATCATTGACCTTCTACTTTCCCCCTATTTTGTATGTAGGCTACTCTTAATATTTAACATATTCAACAACAAAATTCAATAACGTGCTTTATTAACCACCAGGAGGTGCGGGTTAAAAAAACAGTGGTGTATTTAATAAAACATAATAATATCAAACATAATATTACTATTAACTTTATTGTGAAATTAAAACAGAACGGTAAAGGAAAACACAGTTTCAGTCTCTCGATTTGAAGCTTATGCATTGTACCATGAACCTGTATAGACCTGTAACAGTCAACTGCATGAGGAGTTGGAAAGGTAGTTCAGTAAATAATATATTTTAAGAAAAGCAAGAACACTCGGAATAAAGTATTATTTAATTTTTTTTAAATGTTTTTCATATCGCATGAACACCATATCCTGACATGCATTGCGGCTAAAACAATCGATGTTTTAGCCTATCAAAACCTCTGAAAAAAGAAAGGTGTCTCTCAGAATCGAAAGAGAAAAATCTATGGGAAAAACACAAAAGCATTGTAAATGTCGTATAATTAACAAGGATAAACTGATGTTTTTTAGTTGATGAGTACTGCAGATATCACTGTTAAATCATTTGATCATTGGTTTTATTATGAAAACGTCGAGACCGGAAATACTGTTTTCAACCCGTAACTTTCATACCTCAAATCATCTTCGTAATATCTATCAAACTATAGATCCTACATATCGACTCGACGTGGAATCTAAAAGTACAATATACACTTCTCGCTAGAAATCTAATCAAAAAGCGTTTTAATGGCCAAACTATCCTACAATTTAGGATTTTACAGAGAGGGTTATTTGGGAATAAACGACCATCTGTAACGTTAGCATTCAACGGGAGCACTAGAGGGCGAAAACTTTAAAACGTAATTATAGGACGTATTAAGCACTTGAACAAACGGCATATTTGGTCGTAATAAGGGCCCGAACAATCGGCCCATTTGGTCGTATGAGTTGGAGGACGTGTTGAAATAATGTGAGATTTTTAGGTATAACGTCTCACTTTCTTTACAAAATATACTGTTGGGGCAAAAAAGTAATGTTGCCCTAAAATGAAAGTCAACTATATTATCATTCTAGACATGGATTACTATTTCTTAAATCCATTAGGCACTTTGTTATTTTATAGTTTCTTATTTCGAAGAAACTTATAAGCACAATACTTAAAGTTGTGCTTTTGGATGACTGTTTAGGAGCAATTCAGTTGTTCTATTTCAAATAGTATTCTAAAGATATAGGCACTGTCTTAAGTTTCATTTGTAACAAAGTAGGATTTAAGTGATGAGCTATCAATCTGAAAATACCACCAATGACACTAAAAATCTTTATAGTTAAGCATTTAATAAAGCACAGCTGGCAAATAGTTGTGCATTCTGGCTTCTCAATTGTTAGTCGCTGCTAAAAAATTTAAAAGTGCAGAAATTGAGGGGGGTCAAAGCCCTCTACTACGCATTTGGCCCCCCCCCCCAATTTAAGGGATACGCCCCTGATCAGAATGTAACCATTAAAAAGTAAACTAATGTCACATTATTTCTGAAGCCATGTTACTGTATTAAATGCTCACTTCCTGCCATACAACTATCCCATTCCCATCAGACCAACCTTCTATGAGCGGAGACTTGGAGAGGTCTCTTATGTCCTCAGGAAAGGACTCCAGCAGTCTCCTAAACAGCCGCCCCAGATCGGAATAACTCCGATGCAAATATAAAATGTTCCTGTCAGACCACTCTGTCCTTATCTCGAAGAATTCCTCTTCCTCTCCCCGCTGGCTGATGATCAGTCTGCGGATCCCGTTGACCCAACAGTCTCGGACAAACATGTTGACCAGCGACGTGCCTTCAAACACAGCCGATGCCATTCCTCAGACGTCAGTCCAGCATGCTGGGGCGGGCCGGGGGACAGCACGCTGGGGGAAAAAGGAGTCGATACAACAGAAGATTTGAAAAATAAAGAAATTCAGCCAAAGAAGAAGTAAAGACAACTCCGGTAACTTTTCGGTCAGTGCGCACTGACAGCTGTTGTGTTTATGCACAGTGGGAGGATGTTCTGCTCAGCACATCACAGGCAAACGTGGCATGATCTGAAAACATAGACTTTTGTCATAGATACCGCCCCCACAAAATGGATTTGTCCATCGATCCAACAACAGTTTGACTAAATAAAGTCCAAAGAAGATCTCTCAAAGTATAAAGTACTGCTCCCTCCTCCAGTCTGCCGTTAGTTTCCTAAATCCAGAGCATGTCACTTCACTCTGTCTGGGTAAGCTTTTCTTTCAGTTTCCTCCCCTCTTCTTCCTCCCTCCTTCCTTCCTCCCTTCCTCCCGTATACTTGACAACAGGGTATTATCATGCAAAGAATGCAAAGGGCTGCAAAGACAACACTGTCAATCTCCGTATTCATGGGATAAGTATCTTATTAGGCCCTTTTCAGTTTTGTTTTTCTGGATTTGACGCCATTTGCCACGTCTTTCCACAAATCAGCAATCTTGAAATTATATGTTTGGAAAAGACCACAGGAAAATAACATCAACGCCTCAAATCCAGCAGATTTTGGCCAATATTTAAACATTTGCAATATTTTCCATTTCTGGTCATGTCAAAATACCATGTAGTTTAGCCAATAGCTACAGCAATGCATTTAGCCTATTATTTGTCCTGGAAAAGATCTTCTCTGAATTGCTCCATTGCGTTGCACTTTTTTCAGTAATAGAGCTTTACAGGAAGTCGTGGCTAAGTCGAGTAATGACGATTCAGCTGCAATTAACTGTAAACTGCAAACAGTTCTGGTAAACACAATTCATAAAATACAGTAGAGGAAAAAGCATTGTCATTGAAATTAATGCAAGCTGAAAAATACTTATTAGTGGACATACACAAATGCATATAGGAAATCTCGGAACACTGAACATTGTAGCCTACTGTTGAGATCTGAAAAAGCAATTATTCTATAAACGTGTATACATAACATTTTATGAGACACAGCACAAGACTTGATCCATGCCTCCTTTGAGCTCGCAATTACACCTTTGTGAGTTTTTTGGTCTTGTTATGGCAAATGTGAAGGCTTGACAGATTGTGATGCAGCCAGTGAGGAAAATATACATTTCCAATTTGCAAAACTGTTCAAAGAGCTGTCCTTCACATGCAACAGTTTCATATTCAGCTGTTCAATTCCTTGTTACGCTGCAGTGAGGGAAAATATGGCATGGTGATGCGGGAAAACAGGTGGCCACAGTATGGAAAATCTATCAATTATAATGGAAATATTCTGAAAATGTAGACTCAGTAAGAAATTCCTGCTTATGTTGTCTCAGTATTATACTGTACTTTTCAGTTTTATCAATAAGTTCTCAATAAATGTGAAGAAACTACTAATTGAAAGTGAGCTAGTAAAAGTGCAATTAAATAAAATCACTTTTAAAGTCATTCATCCTAATAATATTCGAATAGCAACTTGTTGAATGTCACCGTTTTATACTGGTACAAATAAATAAATAAATTCTTGCTTTGTGAGAATAATATCTGAGTAACATGTGTCACTTAAGCTATTCAAACAACCATTTGGAAGAAGTTCTTAATCACATTTCCTAATTTAAATGACTTAAATATAAAAAAAATATTAAGACAGATGTGTTTGTTGCAGGTCAATGTTTGTTTGCAGAATGGAATCATATTACATAAAACTCCCTTTTCACTGTCCACACACTATCATTACGATAGCAGAAATTATACAGTGGCAAGGAAAACCATGACGCACTGTAATAATAAAGCAGCTCTTGCTGAAAGGTCATGTGGTGGTTGACATGTGAGATGCAGTTTTAGGAAAACTATTATTAAGGCTGGTTTTCCGCTGGTAGGGAAAAGACCAAACATTAAAAGATATTGAGGATCAAGTTTGGCGTTGAGTGATTTCTCCCTTAGTGGACAGTTTTGACTATTTTACTTTCAGAGAGGATAAAAGGTAACAGAAATCTAGGCAGCCATTGGACCTTGTTAATGCTGTCTGCCATTTAATGTGGTTCTTTGGCACCACACCTATTGAGGTAAATTGAACAAAAGAGAACTTTTAAAGTAGTTTTCCATCCCAAAAAGTGCTTACATTTTAAAGTAAACTGACACAAATAAAGCATCTACAAATATATACAGCAAACAGCTTTGTTAGTCAAATGCTCACATCAGTATGCTTTTACTGCTTTTTAACAGATATAGGACATGGTCAACATCTTAGTTTAGAGTTGCTTCTTAGGAGTAGATTGAACTTACTCGTTTGACCAAGACATATTGTTTAAAAAACGGTTAAATAAAATGGCTAACCAGCCTTTTCAAAAGGCAGAATAAGGACAACTTTCTTAAGAAAGAAAGTGGCAATGGTAGACAATACAGAGAGTTACAATGGGAAAACTTCTCTACAAATTCAAAACACTATTCACACAGAGACACACCGGTTTCATGCTGACATCCATGCAGACAGAGAGGGTTGCTGCAGCTTTCCTCAGCCCAGCATGCAGGCCTTGATTGGGGATTGGAAGCACCTGGAGGGAGACAATCAGTGGAAGAGGAAGAGAGAGAGATAAACACACACACATCACAGCAGTTTTGCAGCAAGTTTATCATACTCAAAATGCTCAACAAACTAAACATTTGCCCTGGTGGTGGAGATAGATGAAAAGTCAGGGGAATGCCGAAGATACACAGATTCATCCTCTGGGCACCATGAATATATGCACCAAATCACACACAATCCACTGCTGTTGAGATATTTCAGTGTGAACCCAAGTGGTTAACTGACTATCCAACAGACAGCACATCCAAAACTAATATGTGTCAGATAATACATGTCTTGTACTTTCTTACAAACACTATTGTTCATTTTCTTTGGGTTTGGAGATGTATGATGTATGCTGCACATTTCATTTGAAGTACAAATTATTTCAGAATGATTAAGTTACACAGAGAAACCGCCACAGTAAAAACCCTTCTCCCCCTCTGTAATAAGACGATCTGTCTGTTTTGAACCAGGCTTCAGTATGTGGTGTAGCCACATTTACAGCATCAGCACATATCGTTTCAATGCCTCATTCCAGTGTGTTTCCTGTGAAAGATTAAACCTTAAATGGAAAAATAAAAAAGGCTTTGACCCACTCATCCTTAAATGCTTTCTCTTGCAGAATTCTAGAACATTTGTCTCTTGTTGCAAGCTGAGGCTTTAACTGTGCGGTGGAAATAAAGAGAGCAAAAGGGAACTGTTGAGCGTTGGTTTCACGAGAAACTGATGTGTCCGCACATAGAGGAAAGTTTGTGTATTAAAAACATTACATATTAAGGCTGCCTCTGCACTTTTAATTGACATATTTAGGATTAGAAATGGGTTTGGATGTGAAATAAGACTGTATTTAGCAAAAGGATTTATTTAGGATTAAGAATTGTATATGATTAAATGGGGGAGCTATGGCATAATGGTTTGGAGTTTTAGTTGCAATTCAATGTACATTAAATTCACAAACCTGGCTGGACCCCCCTTGAAAATGTTATCAGTCCATTAAATAGCTGTTATCAGTTGTAATCTGTACCATTCTTATTCTTCAAACAAGGCAAAATGTGCAAATGTGACATAATTGTTATGTCACTTAAGGTAAAATGTGTATTTCTGAACTTTCTGTGAGGTCTATAGTACAGCCTACGTTTTGTGTTTATCTTGTAACCTACAGTAGGTGGTTGGCCTGCAATATAGTTAAATGCCATGTCATCACTGTAGTATTTTTCATTTTACACCCATGTTTAATTATGCAGTTGAAAGGAGGGAGATGAGGGCTTCTATAACTCCTACTACTTTGTCACTCCTTTAATCCAAAACTCCAAACAGCCACACCCTAGACCTTCAGTGAACTTTGTAGATTCCTAAATTAAAATCACCTGTGATGACAACAGAGAAAACATAGCCAGTTTCAAAGTCACTTTGCTCCAGTTGCTCACAAGCCATGCATAACGAGGAAGCAGGTTTATTCCTTTCCTTGGAGCAAGCATAAATTCCAAGCTCTGACAAGGCCATATGCTTTTGTCGTACTCCCAAACCTTTATCTTTGCACCTGTAAATCATATGGCATCCCCTGTTCTTTCAGAAAATCAAACATCAGAGGCTCTTAAAGCAAAACTGTTTAGAAAGGAAGAGAGGAGAAATAAAAACATAAAAATGGACACATCTGTCACGGAACAAAGAACATCTGCGCTGATGGTAACAGGCGTTCCCTTTTCATTGAGAGGCATTGTGAGCTGTGGCAGAGCTTCACTCCGAGGAAGTCATTCTGAGCCATAACTCTGTCCTCGTCCACACCAGCAGACAAAACCTAATAAAGAGTGCAGGAGCTGGGGTTAGAGAACTGCCGGAGTGTTTTTAAAAGGCTGTATAATGGACTGTGGTTGTCTTCACCAAGCATCTGTTGGACCTCGTGTTTTATGGTCTCATCCTTATTGTGTCTCCAGTGAAGCTTGGAGAGCAGAGGCCCTATAGTCAAGGCAGAGTGAACGCCTGCTCGCTTTATTTCCTCTATATGGAGATCCAAGTTCCGGCTAGAAAAGTCATAAATCAGATATGTGTGTGTGTGTGTGTGTGTGTGTGTGTGTGTGTGTGTGTGTGTGTGTGTGTGTGTGTGTGTGTGTGTGTGTGTGTGTGTGTGTGTGTGTGTGTTTGTCTGTGTTCTTTGGTCATGCTAAACAATGCTTACGATAAATCAATTTACATCCTATACAAAATCCACCTACCAGCGACTTCCAAGCTAGAAAATACTACCACGTCACATTTGGTTCATTACAAAACCTCCAGAAAAATATATTTGGGGATTTTAACATGGCATTATGTGCAAAGGTATGTTTGATGTTTGTGAAAGCTAAACTTCACCCAGTCTTAATGCTAAGCTAAAGTGGTATTGATCTTGTCATTTGGTCCTTGAGCATATGTTCCAAAATGACATACTATTCCTTCAAGGTTCATAAAAAAATTGGTAGCAATAAGTAAGGAGGAAAACAAAAGTCCATATAGCAACAGACTAACATTCCCAAGCTTCATCTTTACAAACTGGTCACGTAACGTTATAAATCATAAAGTGTATGATACACAGTCAGGTCTACAGTGTCAGCAGCGCACAGCAGTAAACACATACTGTATGTCCCTGATTTACTGTGCACACTGGGGCAGAGGTCTCAACTAATGGAATATTTAATGTATCCATGACTGACACTTTAATCTGCGGTGAGACCTCCAGCTTGCAACTTTATCATATAAATCTGAGATACACTTTACAGCCCATCTGTGAGTTACAGCATTTAGACCGTCTGTGTATACACATAGACATGATCAAGCTTTAAAAAGATTTTCATAAACTGCATTAAAATTGGTATCCTAATCAAAGGAACATTTTTAACACTTTGTAGTCTAGCCTATACAAATCAAGATGTCATTAAAACACATAATGATAACACCTGCAGGACTGTCGTCTGCCAGAAGCACTTGTCCCATCTGCCAGGATGTCAACATTAATGCTGTTTTATCTACACGCCTCCATTATATTCACACAGCTGTGAATAAGCAACCACAGGTGCCTCACAATAACACAATTGACTGCTTCATATAAAGCTGTCAAGTGTGGATAATAACCCTCTCCTTGATGCTCCTGCATCCTTGAATGTCATGTGATTTTGCAGATCTCATATAGACGTAACGGCTCGGTTCTCACAACTTTTGTGTGTCAGCATAGTGTGTTAGATCTGTAATATTATGTTTTAAATGCAAATATTTATTTTATTTATTCCTCATGTTTTACAGTATTTTGACCCCTATTGGTCATATATCAAATTTTGTGGTTTTCCTCCCTGACTTTGCATGTGTTCGTCTTTACAGTACATAGGTTCTAGCCTGAAGTCAAACTACTTTACAAGTAAAATGTAAGTTTAGTGTTTTGTTTCCCCTTGAGACAATGCAGATAATTAATCATGGAGAGGATGCAATATTGCAATTGGAAAACGTTTTCATTGAACAACTCAATATACAGTTTTGAGGACTACAATTAATGTTACATTAAAGTCAAATGTCAATACCCTTACTTGCCGATGATGAACTCGTATCACACTCAGGAAATATGCCATGAAATACAAAGACTATAGAGCTTATTAGTGAGAAAAAAATGCAAGATAGTTTCCATGGAAATCCAATATAAATGCAAAATCTACAGTCACGTAAAGTTCTGATGTAAATAATAGCTCAGAATGTTTTCTTGTGTGGAAACTATATTTTCCAAATATCTGCTGTTACAATATTACATAACCTTTGTGAGAGTAATGATGATGAGTACAAGGAGGAATGGACTGCCTTACCGGCGACCCAACTTGATGGGCCAGTGCCAGCCATTGCCGAGACTGGGGGGCAAGACACGCGCACAGCCCTTATGGGGCATCTGAACAGCGTGTAAATTGTACATTGTAAACATTTTGACAATAAGGCTGATCTTTTGTACAGTGCTTTTGGTTCTCTCTTTTATTTACCACAGTCGAGACAGGCAACATTACAATAGTGTACAGTGTGGCAATATAATAACAATAAACTGTGCCAGATGTGTTGTATGCACAGTAAATGGGCTCAGCAGCAAACACACCTTTAATATATATCTTCCTGAGACCCACTGCATCCGTCTGCCATAAACACTACGGAAACCTACATGTTAGTTTTGGCCCATAGAATCCTTTTTGTGTTGTGTAAAATGGGGGGGAATAAAAAGTTAGCAAATCCCCATGTCCTCCTCAGAAGACATAAAAACCTTTAGTTTTAGGTCAAATAATATTTAAAATGATATGATCAATTATTATCATTTGTGTATGTGCCTCTGCCATTCCCCCACAAGGTTGCAACATTGTTGATAAATTCAACTACCGACACCTGTCTGCTCTCACATTCCCACATTATTGTCTTGCAGGAACCAATCTTTATTTTTTTCATATTCTATCCCAGCTGCACATTTGGGGTGGGACACAGTAAATAAAGCTTGGCCAGTTTATAACCGATGAAACATGATGGTATCAGAATAATCACTTACATGTGATGTATAGGATGCTACACAGGTCACTGTAAAGATAAAGTGTCAGAGGAGAAATAAGCAAGATACAGGATCTGTTTAATCGCCATGTAGGTTCTCTTTTATTGCACACTCAAGACAATATAAATAACGGCATCACACTGTCCCAGGTGTGTCGTATGCATGTAAATACAAGTTAAAAGTTTGAATGTAAATAGAAGTTCAAATGTTTAATGTAAATAAAATGGAATTTGTAAATGTAAGTTAACATTTTCAATATAAAATAAAGTGTCAGTTGTATCAAGACAATATAATAGCAGAAATAACAATAATACAAAAATAAACTGTGTAGGGATAGGCTCAGCAGCAGACACCTTAGTGCAAAGTTGTGTGTCAGTATTAATAACAGTGGCATATATATATATAATAATAACAACAATACAAAATGAACTGTCCCAGGTGTAGGGATGGGCTCAGCAGCAGACAAGGTTTAGTGCAAAGTTATTG